GCTGCTCGAGAGGCCGCCGAACAGGACGGCGTTCGAACACCACGGAGTCTTCCGAGAGGGAGAGATGCGTCGACGCTGTCGGAGGGAGAGAGAGACATCGCCGTCGATGACAAAGACTCGATTTGAGGGCTCGAATTCGAGGCTTTTGAAGGCTCGATGGAACAGCGGATGCTGGAAAAAGCGCTCGGTATACTCAGACTCACTGATAGTTCGCTCCGATTCTTCACCCAAGCCCGGCCTATCATTTCCTCTGCAATATAGGTCCGCGCAAGTCGACGGGAGTGATGATCGTTCGACCCGATTCCTAATTCGCGTAGCCCATCGAGATAGAGCTCGGGACCGGCGATCTATCGGAACGTCGAGGTTCCGTTTCTTGAGCTGCTCTGGCAGGATAACATTTCTCGTGGAAATTATCAGTGCACGCCGAAGCGACGGCAGCCATCTCCTTCTCGAACGGAATCGATGAGTGTCCCGAGTTGTTGGGTGGGTCCGAACGGAATGCAGGAAGTCCGACGTCGGGTGAGGAAACCCGATGGAAAAGTCGGGAAAATGACACTCGAATCGCTATTAGTTTCCGTTCCAATATGTTACTGCTTGAACGTGGGCGGTGATTCCCAAGCGACGAGCTGAGACGTGTGGGGAACTGTCAAACATCTTTGGGATCAGTTCTCCAATCAGCTCGGCGACCACCGCTCTCTTGGGTGCTCGTTCGTCCGCTCGTCCGTTCATTCTCTCGCGAAACTCCTTCGGTCGAATCTGCCCAACAGCGGCGAGTGGCGCCCAACATCAAAGACCCAATGAAGCAACGATTCAGGGAAGGATCAAGGTAAAAAACCCATTAATGAATACACTGGAAAACATGTTCACAACGAACCTTGAACCTATCGGGTGATCTCGAGACGTTCGTCTCCGAGAGAGGCTCCGAAGCCCGGTCAACCCGCGAGACAAAGGCAGCTAGCTGTAGTCTTTGTGTTAAAACGCTCCGGTCCCTCTTTTTCCCGATGTTTCGTTAACATGCTAGCTTGCTCGAGAATGGGCTATTCTCGAGACTACTTGGGGGATGGGAAGCGAATCGCTTAGCTTATCGAATTCGGCATCGGGCGATTCAGCTTGCGAATAGTCGAAATTCATCGTGCTATCGAGCTCGGGAAGAAATTGATTCTTCCCATATTTGTAGGAGTCGACTCCGATCTTCGCCAACCGTGGGTGTAATCGCGTCATCTCACGGGATCGGGTTTAACAATCCTATTTTATCGCCTGTGCATGTTCAGAAAGCCACAACGGAATCGAAAGTTCATAGTCGAAAATCACTCCGATAGTGATTCTGTCGCTTTCAGGAAGGACATACGTACGTAGACTGGGTGCCGGTGGCACTCGTTTGATGATTCCCTCCTTCAGATCGATTGCAGCTCGTTTCTGTTGTTTATGAAAGCTGCAAAATCGCTTCTGACGTTCGAAGCCGTCTTCCGTGGCATCGTTCTCTCGGCACCAGAATCGTTGTAAGAGATACCGGTCTGTTTTTTCGGATGCTAGTAGCTCGATAGCCGCATCGAAAACCAGTGAGCGAGCTTTCACATCGGAGTGATATCTGTTGCGTTCGGGCTGTGTTGCCTCGTCTGCGACCGCAGCCGCCACCGAAGTCCATCTGGACCGGGTGCCAGGCAGGAAGACTACGCTAGTAGTAGCTCGGAGCCTTCTAGTAGTCGTAGTATGATCATCTTCACCAATGACGACCCTCATGATGAGTCGGCTTCACCCCGGTCTGCGCACGTTTCCCGCATACATGTGATAGTCGGGACACGATTCTGTGCCACGATACGATTCGAAACATTTTTTTTGTTCCCCGTCTCAGTGAGAACCACGGACGCCCTGGATTCCCAGATCTTTGCTTTCAGTGACTAAATCTGACATCGATGAAATCCTGCGTGTCAACTGGAGACAAAAAGTGAAAGCTACGGCGAACGGTACCCATCGGAGGAAAATCTCATTCATCCACGAGGAACGATATTTCATCGGAGCATGCAGGGATGAGCATGATTCAAACGGTTCTTGTCGTTCCCCCGAACGATCTGTTACAACGGAGAACATGAGTAGTCATTGAGCGGAAGGGAACAGCGAAGCGACTGGAAGAGGAGAGCGACATTCTTCTCTTGAGAAGCCGTTACGCTGCCGCTGCCGCTGCTGCTGCTGCTGCGAGTCACGCATTCTCCTGAACAAGATAATGACTGGGTGGACGGACTGAATAAGCTCTGCTGCTGGTGACAACAAAAGAGTCATGACTCAATCCAGGACATCTTGCGGACAGGCAAGATGTCCCGTCCCTCTTCAAGTGTGTCTCCTTCGGACCGCCTCGCTGACTGAATGAATGGATGGATGATCCGCTGGCTCGCCGAAGCCCGAATCCCTTCGAGAGCCCAATCCCTTCGAGAGCAGGGTGCGAACCATGCCGGATCGTACATACTGGACGGCTCCGAGGAACTCCAAGGATCTTTCTCAACGCGAATCTGTCGATTCTCCGATTCGATATCAGCCAATAAGGGTCATGATTATCCCTGAGAGAGGACTCATTGTCAGCTGTGAATCTCCCAAGCCGCGTGGCTCGAGTCGCAGACAGACATTGGGGAAGATTTTCAAGGGGAATGATTTCGGAGAATTCTTAGGATCGGTCGGAACTTGTTCCAGACAGGAGAAACACGGCGCATCACTTGCTCGAGCGAGCACCCGAAAGCGCCCGGACAACAACCGATGGGGACACTTCTCAACCTCAACTTCATCTGGGTGTCATTCAGCGGCGACGCACTTCTGGCGGACGTTTGTTTCTTCTGGAACGCCGAGCGAGTTCGTCGGATAGCGGCGATTGCGGCACAAATCTTGACAGATTCGCATTCTGTCTGTCTGCGGTCGGTCAGACGCTTGGTCGGTAGGTCGGTCGGTCGGTGGTCGGCCCGCTGGCTGGCAGGCCATCAAGCGAACGCCATTGTCCGTGCCAAGAGGCCGTTGTGTTGGAACCAATTTTTTTTCTTCTTTTAAGAAACGGACCACGTGTCAAGCCTTTCAGACTGGACCGTGACCTTGTATGTTGCACCAGATCGAAATCCGCGGGAAGCGAATGTCGGTTCCTCAAAGTTTTCGCTCCCTCCAGCGAGCGTCCGCCTCTTTTCTTTTCCTGTCGTGCGAGGCAGACGTGTATGTGAGCTACCCACGATGAGCGGAACTCTAATGATCACGGATCATGAATAATGTTCAATATGGGTGCCGTTCCAAGACTCGGATAAACATGAGGTCAGTCTAGAGATCCGAATTCCGATCATTTATCGACGCCGATTCCGCGAAAACATCGCTCTCCTTCGACCTTGGAGCTAAAAATGAGACCCTGAAACGGTCGCCGTGCTTCGCAGGCAAACTCCGAGAGCGATCCAGGAAGAAAAACGCTTTCGATTTGAATGTTTGAACGATTTTATTTTTCTGTCGTCGTCGACGTCTTCGTCGAAATATTTATTTACACGATTCTTTCCTCGTCTCCTCCGCGTTTGTTCCGAGGTCAGATCATCCTAACCTCGTCTGCATTTTCGGCTTTCTTGTATTTGTTGTTGTTTGTCGTAGTATCACAGCTTTTACAAAGTGAATATACATTGCGAGCGCGGAAAAACCGCTCGAACCAATCATTCCTTACTCAGGTCTACGCGTTCAATCTTCCCGGCCGCCGGCGCCGAAATCATGCGGCAATATAAATTTCTACACACATCACTAATCAACAGCTTCCCTGCAGACACTGGCGTCGGCGCATTACATCAGCTGAAGGAATTATTGAAATCGAGTTCTCCTAAATTCAGAAAGTCAACCGCTTCTGCCAGCATCCGCATTACAATCGCTCGTCTTTTGCACAATCCATTCCATGCTGGCTCTCGATGCTCCTCGCCGAGCTCGGGTTTCCTCGTGATCCCGTCGAATCTCACGACGGGGAATAGCTCCTACTTGCATACAATGTTCAAGAATTCCATCCAGTTTCACGCTTCAATAAATAAAGATTCGTAGAAAAAAGAATCCTCCACAGTTCGACGCACAGCCGAGATTTACCGAGTGCACAATCCGTTGTGTGGACAACAGGCCTTGTCGCATTCCTTTCCCCCTCTCAAGGAAAAATAATAATCTATATACATATGATACATCTTCCTCCGCTCTCCATTTTTCCTCAGGTCAAGCATTCGTTCCGTTCACTTTTATCCCCCTATTGGAAAATTGGATTTCCGGCTCGATCCCCCTCGGATTGTCTTGGAGCTCGCGATTCTGCGCACTGACCGCTGAGAAGGACGTTCCTTACATTCGTACAGGATTCGGGATGTCTTCGATAGAATCAATGTCAGGGCTGAGCCGGAATTCCGGACCGGTACGAAGTGTAGTTAGGAGAATCGGATGGGAAAGGGGGTTTGGGGGCAGGAGCATTCACAATCAATCGTGAGAAATAGGCGAGGAGAGGGAGGAGAGGGATGAGGAAGGAACAGCCAGGAGGGGAATCGACAATGCGCGGCCTCAGGATTGACTTAGACTATGGCGGAGACGTCAAAGGAAACCATCATCTCTACTCGTCGTCCCAGACAACTTTTTTCTTCGTTTTGTTTTTACAACGCAGGAACTAACTATACAAACCGCGGACTCGTTCGGGTTTCGTTTTCCACGCTCAATAAGTTACAATTGACGCCCGACATCAGGCGTCGCCCCGTCCAGGGAGGGAAATAGATGCAGATGAATCGATGGATGGGAGAGGAGGGGGACGGAGAATGAGGGCGAGGAAAAATGGATAGTATTTGACACTCGGCCATCTTATGTACATTTCGTGCACTGGCGAGAACGGCTGGCGACTGTCTAGTATTTGGCAACATTCCTTCGGAGATCCACTGGCATCTCTCCTTCTCTTCCGTAGTAAAAGGTGTTTGTGTGTGTTCTTAATCCAACTGCTGCTGCTGCTGCGGCTGCTTGCTCTGCTAAAAATTATTCCGCATCGGAACTCCTTTCGCTCACTCCTAGCAAGGCGTCCTAGCAAGTGTCACTAGAAACGCATAGACGCGCTTGTGTTTGCATGAAATCGTACGCAGGCAATTTTCTCAATTTCACAAACGTCGTGAAAGGCACTAAACGAGTTTGACAGCCGAGTTGACTACGTTGTAGCGGTTCATCGTAGCGTCGGCAGGTAGTCCGTGTGGCCAGGTAACCTGTTGCTTTCGGGTTGACGCCTGTGCGTCCGGGAGGTTGTAGCGGAGCTTCTCCCAGAACCGTTTATCTTCGTAGTGTATGATGGGAGCGTCCCGTAAACTCAAGCGCGCTTCCGCGTCCAGCAGACGCATGGCACCCTTGTCGAGGACGATAACAACGAGCGACGAACCGCCCGTCCCGCGGATCTGAGCGTCGCGGGCGGCCGCTTTCAGCTCGAAACGACACCATTCGGAGCGGAGGAACTGCTCCGAGAGCACGACGATCGAACGTCGGCTGCACTCGATCGCTTCGGTGATCGCTTCGGCCACGTATCCCGACATGGGGAGATCGCGGTAGCGGAGACATAGCCGGTACGGTGCCGTGCTTCCGCCACACTCGAGTTCGGGGGCGAGCAGTTGTGCGACAAACGGTTCGTCCTTCTTGCAGTAGGAGATGAAGGCGTCGAAAAGCTTCTCGGGCTCCTCCCGGCGACGTTCGAAAAGTCTCACTCCGTAACGGGCGTAAACCCAAACCCGGAAGTCCTTGCGGTAGGCGACGGCGACCACCGTTGCCACGACGATGAAAAACAAAATGACAGCCGCGGTTGCCACGCCCACGATCGGCAGCATGTTGTCGAGCTGCATGTCGTTGAAAACCTTGCCCAGGTATTTCGAGTCGGACGGCAGTTTCTGACCCCCGTAGCCTCCTCCGTTCGATCGGTTGAACGAGCAGGCGGTGCCGTTGAAGAGCGTCAACGGCGGCCCCAGCGTGTCATTTCGTCTGCATCTCGTGGCACTGGCGTCCTGGAGAGCGTTGGCGCCGAACATCTGCGCCCAGTCGTAGAACGACTCCATGAAGCGGCAGTCGCAGCTCCAGGGATTGTGGCCGAGCCGGAGGTCGGTGAGCAGCGTGTTCTGGTTCAGCGACCAGACCTGGAACTCGACGATGTAGTTGTTGTCGAGATGGAGGACCCGGAGCGAGCGGAGCTGCGCGAAGGTCCGGTTGCTGATCGAGACGAGTCGGTTGTGCGAGAGGTAGAGCTCTCGGAGCGTGGTGAGGTTCTCGAACTCGAAGCCGTGCAGGGCCGTGATCTTGTTGTGGTCGAGATGGAGAGCCTGAAGGTTCGCCAGCCCTGTAAACGTCCGGTTTCGGATCGCTTGGACGTTACTATTGTTCAGGTAGACGACCCTCAGCTGCTTGCGGCCGATGAACGAGTGGCTCGCCAGATGAGGCATGTCGTTACCGTCGAGGTACAGTTCGGTGACGTCCATCGGTACTCGCACCGGGATGACGTTCAGGTTGGAGAAGCTGCAGTCGACCACATTGCTGTTCCAGGTGGAGTCCGCGTAACAGGTGCAGCTGTCGGGACAGGTCATTTCGCAGTCGCACGCGTCGAACTCGCAGCAGTGACACAGAGCGAAGCAGTGGCTCTTGTACTTGCAGAGAAAGTCCGATGAGTTGGCTTGCAGAAGTGGGACTTTCGTCCTACGGCGAGAGAACGGAAGTTGACACTCGAGTCGGTCCAGATCGGCGATCCTTGGGTACTGCCTCGATTCGTCAAGTTCGTTGATTTTCTGCATCCACTCCATGGCGCAATCGCAGAAGAACGGGTTGTCGGCGATGCGGAACTCCGGCAGACGGCTCAGATCCTGCGTGGTCTTGAGCCGGAGCGCGTTGATGTCGATGTTCTGCAGACGGTTGAAGGTCATGTCGACCTTGGTCAGGTTGGCCTTGTTCATGAACGTGAACGGATGGATCACGCTGATGAGGTTGTTCGATAGAGCGACGCTCTCGACGCGGTGCGGAAGTGAAGCCGCGTTGATTTCGCGTAGCTTGTTGTACGAAGCGTCGAGGATCTTCAGGTGCATGGTGCCCTCCATCTCGAAGTAGTTTCCGAGAGCCTCGATCTCGTTCGAGTGCAGATCGAGGTGTTTCAGCGCCGGGGGCACGAGGGCGTAGTCGAACCACGTGATAGCGTTGCGGGAAACATTCAGTAACCTCAGATGACCCAGGTTCATGAACAGACCGTTGATGTCGCGCAGGAGATTGTCCTGCAGCTGGATGGTGTTGAGCGCGGGCGCGTCGTCGAAGATGCCGTGCTCCAGCCCCGCGATCTGGTTCTTGGACAGGTCGAGTCTTCTCAGCGAGCGGAACTTGGCGAACGTTCCTCGCGTCATGTTGCCGATGCGGTTCTTCGACAGACTCAAACTGTGCAGGTTGGTCAGGTTGGCGCTCGTCAGGTTGCTCACGTCGTCGATGAGGTTGCCCGACAGGTCGAGCGCGCGCAGAAACCGCAGGTGCTGGAGTCCCCGCGGGATCTGGCTCAGCTGGTTGTCGGACAGCTCGAGGTCCTGCAGGCTGCTGCAGTTCCTGAACGTGTCCGGATGGAGTTCTTCGAGAAGATTTGAGTCGAGAGCCAAATTGCTGAGCACGTAAAGTCCGTTGAACGTGTACGCGTCGAGGTTCTTGAGACGGTTACCGCTCAGGATCAGCGTGTGCAGGTTGTAGAGGGCCGCGAACGCGTTGTCGTCGATCGTTTCGATTTGATTCCCGTCCAAATGGAGAATCTGAAGGCTGTATTGGGTAGCAAAAGCGGTGGCATTGATATGCCGGAGCCTGTTGCTACTCAGATGCAGCACCACCAGTCGAATCAGATCGGCGAACGTTTCGGGGGCGATCCACTCGCTCGAAATTTGGTTGTCGCTCAAGTTGAGAACGACCAACTGCTGGAGACCGCGGAAAGTCGACGGGGACAACAGGCCGATGCTGTTGTTCTGCAGGTAGAGCTCCTTGAGGTCGCCCGAGCCCTGCAGGACCTTCGGCGGGAGGGTGTTCAGCCGGTTGTTCGACATGTCGAGCAGCTGGAGCCGCGACAGGCCCGAGAGCGCCGTCTCGACGAGCTGCGCCAGCTGATTCCGCTGCAGGTAGAGCTTCTTCAGGTTGCCGAGGTTCTCGAACGCTCGGTCGTCGATGTAGCGCAGGTTGTTGTCGGACAGATCCAACTCGAGCAGACCGTTCAATTGGCAGTCGTCATTGAAGCCCATGTTGTTCATGTCGGCCAGCGAGTTATGCGTGAGGTTCAGTGACTTCAGTGACTCCAGCTGACAGAACGGAGCTCGGGGGAACGTGATGATGTTGTTGTGCGCGAGGTCCAAACGCTCGAGGTTCTTGAGGTGGCGTAGAGCGCCCGGCGAAAGACCCAGAGAAATGGCTCCCCACTCGCCGTTATACGTCCGCACGGTGAGGTTTTTGAGATCGTCGAGCCCCGCGAACGCGAACTCCGGAAGCTCGCTCAGCTTGCAGCGTTCGATGTGCAAACTCCGGAGATGCCGGAGCGTCTCGAACGTCCCGTTCGCGAGACGGCTTTCGGTGAACAGGGCATCGCACACGACACTCATCGCCCGCGTCGTGTCGGGATGAATTAGCGAGAAGTTGGTCGCGTCCGAGCCGGCTCTCAACGACGTGAATCTGCACGTCATCGCGAGCTCGGGCGCCCCGCTCGATAACGTCTGCCAATCGCAGTCTTCGGCGCTGACGTAACGGCATTGTACGGTCGTACAAGCGATTGCCGCCAACAATGCGGTGGTGACCACGACAGTTCGGTCCATGATGATGATGGACTCTGTTTTGAATGCCTCCTACACGCTCAGCATCGGGACCGTTCAGTCTGGAAGGAGGGAAGAGAGGGAAAAATTTAGAAGCTTGCGGGCGATTCGTTACCGAAATAGAAGAGATTCTATCCATTGCTCGAGAGGTCGAGTACGACGAAAAGGAAATATCTCACACAATACACTCAATCATGGACTATAATAAATAATAATAATTAATTTCGTCGGCATTTTCTCTCGGATATGGCAGATCCATGGATCGAAACAGAGCCATGGAGTCGGTCGAGGGATCGCTGTCGACGGACAACTCCATCGCAGACCTCCGAATATGTGTTCTGTGGGAGGAGGGAACCGTTCGACCGACTGAATGGACGAGCAATGAATGGGGATCCGCGGGCGCCGGCCCGAGTATGAGGCGAGAAAGCGAGGCGTCGAGACAGGGAAAAATGAGATCGTGAATTCTCGAATAAAAGACCCACAGGAAGCGAAAGAGAAGAAAAAGCACGAGACCTATTTCCGATAGCAACTTTCCATCCACTTCGAAGGTGGTCTCTCAAAATGCTCCGCCACCAGGAAAGCGAAATCAGAAGCGTTATCTCAGCTACTCAAATTTTATTCCTCCGGCGGTGGTCTTTCGCTTCATTTTAGTTTGCTTTGCGGATTCCTCCCAAAGACTCTCCGTTCTCGGGCTTCGGCTTGGCGTTGTTGATTGTTTTATTTCTTTCCATTAGACTCTGGCGATAGTTTGATTCTAATGGCATCATTGTAAATACCGGCCGTCTTGGTAGGTACCTATATATCGGACGGCTTTCATGCTCCCGATTCCGACATTCCGGTCTCAGTGGCTCAGTCAGACGTTGCTCCCGATCGGTACGGATCGCTCCAAATCCGACGGATGCATTTCGTCTCTGTGAGTTAGCAAACAGTCGCACGGACGACCACCGAGTGTCTCTGATGGCTGGCGAGTTGTTTCTGTTTTAATGGCTGTATTCTGTCGGTGGACGCAATTACTGCATCACGCCACCAAGATTGGCGAACTGTTAACAGAGGTCCTGTTCTCGCCGTGTTCTATGAGAACGAAGGAATGAACGGATCGACGGCGATGAACACCCCCACGAGGTGTGGCATCCATTACGGGCTCGTCGAAGGTCCGCGTTCCTTCCTGCCTGCCTTACTGACTGCCTTTCATTATGCCTCGACCAAATACCACGCTGGATCTCGTCGATGCGCGAAGAATCAGAGAAAAAAAAACTCTGTAGCCTCCATTCCTCACTGTCGAGTCGGTGTAGGCATTCTGTCAATCAAGAGTGAAAGTTTCCATTTTTCACTGTGTTCCATTCACTTGGACGCTCTGAATTCATGGGAACGAATTTCAGATTTTTCTTTTCGCGAATTCTCAGCCGGCCACAGAAACCAGAATTGAGCGATTAGAACAAAGTGAAGCTCGCCGAGGAATTCAGTTTTTGCTTCTTCCCGAATATTGTTGAGCGGCAGCGTACTTCCCCGAAGCGGCATGCCATCGAGGAAACGCCCGGGCCCTCTTAGCGCTCCACCCGTTGAAGTCGGACGAGACGACGAATAACTCGGATAGTTGTTGCACACACTGAGTAAGCCGCCAAACCGACGATTGGTTCTTTCGCGAGTCGACTGGACTACGCCCGCCCGGCCACTTGGATCGGTCGGGGTGGTTATTTGACGTAGATGACGGCGTAGTCGTCATCGCCGAGTGGGAGGTAGACACTCGTTGTTTGAACTGTGAGAGTGAACCCCGTGAACATTAGGCCCACACTATCCGACATTCTGAAGCATCGATCGAACGCGGAACATCCTGAAGGTTCGTTTCCCTCACGCGGAATTCTCTGCTCGTATGAAACCGAACGTCGATTCTGTTGTTGGTCGTTGCGGCGGTGGAAGTAGTAGTGGCGTTCTGGTGCCAACAATGCTAAGGTGAGGCCCTTTGGGCCCGGCTCTGGACCTTGATGGTTCTCGCGGAATATAGATTCGGAGCGGGTATCGAACGAGAAGATGGGGGAAAAAGGATTTATTCCCGGAGATGCTACGATGAAGTCAATTAGGGCTCATTAACGCTCGATACTACGCCCGGTGGGATCTTGAGAATTCACCCTATGGAGCTTCTCTCGGGATCGAACTTGTTCTCTTCGGACATCGGTGCTTTATCGTCGACTGGAGTTCTTCCTCATTCGTCCGCGAAGGCGTTCTCAATATTTCACAGGTCTTCTCCGCACCGGGCTTCGTCGCTTGACCGACGACGGATGCCACGTCTGATTGTGATGCGTCGCGAGAGAATTTACTGCCGAGAGTAAAAGTGTCCACCGCGATCAATCACGAGCCGTTCGAAAACGCACACAGTCGTTTACAACTTCTTCGAATCGCTCATCACGAAAAGACAAAGTGAAGATTTTCTTTCGAATCGCCTTCCTCTCTCAGTCGACACTGACCGGACAACACGTCGGTCGGCGACATCGACGGTGAAATCGAAGATCCGCCGCCGCCTGCACGCCCGACGGATCGGTGACACGAAAGCGACGGGAAAATGCTCGACGCGAACAAGCAGAAAAAAAAATCACAGAACAAGAAGATTGACCAAAATCTGAGACGAAATTTTGGTAAACGCCGCCGCTCTTGCCCAGCGCCGCTGACGACGACGCGATTTAACAATTAAGCAATTGACTCGAGCGACCAGACGAGAACCGGACCGAGCGAAACCAGAGCGAACCCGTTCTAGAAATCGACCGCAGAAGCGACTTGACGTTTGGACGATCTCATGACTTTGACGTTATACCGTAGGAGGCGTACCGCACCGCAACGGATGGTGATCGGCGGAAGCAGCGGGAAGAAGAGCAATGGGAAGCAAACAGAGCGAGTAGAAATCCAGAAAGAGAGAAATACAGCAGAGGAAATCGTAGTCGTCGCACGCAGCTGGTAGGAATATTTGTCAAGATGACAAGTAAGTGTCCCGCAGAGCCGGTCGAGACCCGCCGTTGCCGCCCGGCGAAGCTCGTCTTTTGGAACACTGCGTTCGACACTACGCGATCATCATGACTTTTTGTCGTAGCCTGCGATACGCCTGTGAGTTTTCCTCTTCCTCGACTGCAACAGACTTCTCGCGAGTTCGGAACGACGACGGAATTCCGCGGAGTGATCTGACTGAATTTCCCGAAGAATCGTCATCTCTGACCGAGGGAGAAAAGGTGAAAGGAGACAAATCTCCGGACGAAGAAGGACCTCGAACAAAGAGAACCCGGCACGAGAAGGAAAAGAAGGCAGGGGCAAAGGTGTTTCTCGTCGAGGTGTTCCTCTACGACCGTAGTCCCTCTACCGATGTGGCTATCCGCCCGTTCATCCATCCATCCACTCATCAGCCCATCTATCACTCCGTCCGCGAATCTGTGAGGACGTGTGTGGGTTTGTCAGTGTGAGAACCAGTCCATACGTGGACTAAAAACGGCAGAGCAGCGAATAGTCACGAACTCTACGAATACTCGACCGCGAACACTCGCACAAACTCAGCCGGGACAAACCACCAGCACCGCCGTTTCAAAACCCATTCGTTTCCCGAAAAGAAAGCCCGAACCAGTCCTGTTTTGTTTCTGTTTGCTGCTGGTGATCGAGGTGTTTTCACGCGCTTTCGCCTGCCTTGGTGGTCTCGCCTCATAACGCGGCGGTTCGTTTGTATTCGCTTTCATATCTCCCTTCTCCCAAGACTCGGAAATTGAATCAACAGAGTCCAAACTCCAAGCCGACCCGAAATGTCGAGAGGAATAGATACAATGGAAAGAAATAATAGGAGGAAGCGTTGCTCGCCGCCTATTCTTGTGGATTCGAGCCTTCTGGCCAACTCGTTCTCCTATTTTTTCATCCCCCTTGTTTTCTCTCCCTGTCGATTCCGATTCCGGAACATCCTAGGCCCCTTCCGCATTTCTCCCGTCTCCGTCACTCCATCCATCGAGCTGTTAGATCTTGGGCTTGGGCTGCGCTACCGGTTGCGCGCGTGAATCATTCTCCCGAACCCTTTGAGTAAACAAGATTTTTCACTCGACCGCGACCGAAACAAGTGTTCTCAGTCGATTGACTGTCCGACTGATTCACTAACCGATTCGATGAACACAGCGGAGGGCGAACGCTCGCTCGGCCGAACACACGAGCGAAAGTCCGACGGCGAGGCCGTTCGAACGAGGAATCGAGAGAAAAAAGAAGACGCCCACACTGATGTTAACCAGAGCCCCGCTAGTCAGTCAGTCGGACGTTCGCTCGCCTGTCTGGTCGGCGCCTCCAACCCCACAGGTCACGACTCTCAGCCGGATCCCAGTGCTCCATGTAATGACGATCAGCAGCAGCAGCAGCAGCCGATGAAGCGCCGGCTGAAGGCATCCAGACCCTCCAGTTTGTCATGAGTCACAAATTGGGTATGACCAGTCGGAGGTCGCTACACTCGAACTCATCAGCTCCGAAATATTCCATTGGACGGTGGGAGAAAAAATATAACACGAATCGAAGCACTGCCACAGAATCTCATGGAATTCCGCGCGAGGTCGTGTAGTCCTGAGCCAAGGTCTAATGGTCTCCATGAAAATTCTTTGCGAATTCCAAGTGGCTATCCAAGTCAAATCGTGCGGAGCTTCCTGTGTTTCTGTTGCAACCCTCTCGTTTCCGATCGAGGAACGGGATCGGAAAATTCCCCAACGGTCAGCAGTGATCGTGGCCGAAAATTATGAATAACGAGCTTTGTGGCCAGCGATGCCTTTGAGTGAGTGGAATACTCGATGGGCGTGCCAAGATCGTCGGGTGAACTGTTGTCGTGGACTTCTTCTATCGCTCTACCGCGGATGCGGTATCACTCGCTGAATTCGCGTCGGTGTCCGTAACCGAATTTCGCTACCGAACGCAGTGTCACCGGTGCCGTCGAGACGAGCCTCGGCTCGCACGGGATCGGAGACGACGTCCGTCGGTAGTCTGCCCCTCGTAGTCAGTGCGAGTAG